TAACAAGGGGCAAGGGCACCGGCGAAACCAACTATCCGGTATATTTCGATGGAACGCCTGCTATAAAACGATTGAAGACCGTACTGACGAGAAGCTAACTGGAACCGTATCGCAGCAAATGACATCAAGCAACATTCTGCAGTTGAACGGGTGGCTTATATACGTGAAGCCTTCAGGAAACAGAGATAATTAACTAGAGGACGATAAACCGCTAGACCACGCTTGAAACAGAAACAAGGACCGAGACAACAGGACTGTACCTCAGTCGCTCTACATTTGAAAGCAGCGTAGAAAAGTGCTTCTGGAAGTGAGTAGGGAATTTCGCCACATTTGTCTTGAAATAGCCAAGGATAGAATAAAAAATGCTTTAACTAGCCATACACTATGTACCAGATGATGTAAAGACTCAAAACTACAGAAAACATGTTTTTCCTCTCGATACTTCAGGAGCTTGATCATTCCCTGCACGAATATACTATTTTTGGTTCACTAAATATTCTTTCCAATCTTTCAACTGATGATGAGTAAAAGCCAACAGTATCGAATTAGGTACCGCATTGTCCAAGTGACAGTTGAATGGTGAAATTAGTACAAGAAAAGGAGTAGACTTGAAAGCATTTCTCTGAACAAATAACCTTCAGTATATGTGGTATTTACATTAATCACTTCTTATTTGACCAGGTAATGTAAGTACTACGTAGTCGAATCACTACTGTCACCTGCCTGAGAAGTATGTTGCAGTACGGATGCAGACCCTTGCTGCCTGTCCTTCGGCTTCGTTTGCTACAGGCTGTTGTCCTGAAACGGTAGACAACCTATCAAATGATGAGAAAACCCACCCACTTGTACGCAGTTGTAACACGATGTGCTTTTCTAACGCTTTTGCATTTCACCTTAAGACTGTGAATCCGATGCAGTTATAAAAAACAGTAAATATCCATTTATGAAAACGCCGAAGAGATTCACTCAGTCTTCATTCTTTGATCCTGATTTCCACTGACTGTGAGAGTTAACGCCTACCAATAACGAGCCCTACTTAGTAATAGCTTTTAAGCCTTGTTTGCCCTCCAAGTGGTCACATCTTACAAATCTTGGCAACTTGAAGATCCTTCTTCACCACTCTGTCTTTTACGAAAAACCACCACTCCTTAGCCAGGAGATTGACTTAGCGTACTCCAGTGTCATGCTGCTGGTTTTATTAAGCATTATTTAGATTGTAGCATATGAATGCGGTTTTCATCACAAGTGCCAGCGGCAAATATGTGATGCCAGAGAAGTACGATATGAATGAGCCAGTGTAAACAACAAGAATGACTCATACAGACTGTGGAAATTTCTAGCTATCAGTAGCTCTTTCGCCTACTCATAAGAGCTCTCACTTTCGTGATAACTTCTGCTGAAGAAGAAGCGTGTTCGAAGTTGATGCTTAACACTGCATTAAGATAACGAAAATGGATCAGAAGGGTCTAGTTGTTTCTTATCAAAGGCAAAACTTCAGCTTGCCATTCTAATTTTTACGAGATGAACTTGTTCCACTACCAATATTTCATGGAATGAAGAATGAATTACTTCTTTTGATGCTACACGACAGAGAGAGCCATGTGTGGGTGAATTTTAAAATCCTGTCTGTAGGGTAGATAAGGTGTGTAGGAAATCATAGGACTAAGAAGATTAAAAACTGCTATTTCACAAACTGCTGCGGGTCTCTGGCCACTGCTTAGGTTTGCCTTATGGGCGGAAAACATTCCGCAGAGCAGCTTGGTGACCAAGTAATTACTGTGTCGAGTGGCGAAGTTAAGTGGGACATACCCATTATTTGGATCTCCATGACGTTGTTTTGAACATTCTATAAAAGCATCCACTTTATAACAAATCTGACTCGTTATAACCGCCGAAACGAAGGAATTTCTGTTTTAGTAGCAGTTACCGTATGTTGACTGCTGGTGCCATTTGTTCGGTCACAAATACAAATGAAAAAGTCGTACATAGCAGACATACCTATCTTCATTCACATCTTGAAATCCTGGAAGATATTAAGCCAAGATCCAGTGCGCATGATACGAATCCCCCAAAAATGTTTGCTAGGCACAGAAGCGCTTAAGATTCAAATGACCTTATAAAGTACATTTATTTTAGCAGTTTGGTGGCCAACTTTGCAGGTTCCGTTACACCAAAACATTGAGGACTCGAGAAGGTTAGACCATGCTTCTCCCTGTCAAATGCACTGTGACGTATGCAGAATTTCGTCTCATTTTCTCCAGTCATCCCGTGCCACCAGTGAACTGGCGTCTCAGACTGAATTCGGCGTGACACTCAGTTTTGGGTCAGACAGACATAAAGTCCGATCTACATACATCACAACTGATTCCTCTATTACTTCCCTAATCGTAAATCGTTAAGAAAATCAGTGTCTTCTTCAGTGGACGAATCATCAGATGCTGTCAGCAGGAACTTTCCAGATAACAGACGTCCTCCATGATGTGGAAGGATCTGAGGCATAGGTATGGACACAACCTAGTCCATATTTTATATGTGACAGACGAGCTACTCCTAGGGACAGCGAATTTTACCACTATTCACAACTGGTACAGAACTGACAGAATTGCTGACACTGAATTACAAAAGTTTGGGTAGCTTCGCGGAGGACTCGGAAACCTAGTTATAAATCACATGCTGAAGCTTAAGTGTCCAGGCATTTAATTCTGCAGTGATTTTTGTACTGCCGGCTTCACCGAAACCCCGTCTGTTAATTTGGATGTTAGTTTATTTTACCATCCAAGAGACGAGGATCTCAGTAGGAGGGTCCGTCGAGTTGAAAATGATTTTTATCCAGTTGGTTATGAAAGTGTTATGGGAGGAGAACAGGGGTAGCGAACTGAAAGGAATGTTTGCAGTCGCAGTAACTGCAATTAACGAAGTGAGTTGGGTGAACTCGTTTACATGGTCTACACTATAGGTCACAACTTTATCTGTCTCAGAAACAGCACATGAATGAGCTCGGAGAAACTGAAGTGCGTCTGCGTGCTATTCTAGCACACATCCGAGACAGACTACAGTGTAGAGTTGGCAGTTTTACCATCTGCCCGAGGAACATATTTTGCATGGACAAGGTGGAAGTAATGGTGTAAGATGGTGAATGGCGAAAACGTTTTAGTGATTGAAATGTGAGCGGTAGCACTTTCAGTTGATCGTAGGACACCGCTTGAATAAATGCGAAGTTAATGATGTTTATCTGAACAGGCTCATCTTCCAAAGAAGTTGAACAAGGTGCCCACTCTTAGGAAACCTCAGTGTACTATTAGGTAACTGAAGCAGTCTGATGACAAAAGCACGAGTAATTTCGTTTCATCACAAGTTGCCGTAACCCCCGACCCTTTAGGTTTTCATCCAGTACACCAGGGTGGCAGTGCAATACTACTATTTCCCATCTCTATCACTTTCGGGCTTGCTCTTTACTCATGAAGGTGACACAAGCTTCATCCATCACCTCTGACCCCTCAGTGAGACTAAACATACAGTGACTATCTTCCGATTTGAAGCCACGGTGATGTACTTGGCAAGCATCCTAGGCCTACCAAGCAGGCGGAGGGCTGGCATAACCGATATTAACTCAACAGCCTCTTTGAAGCACTAAATCATTAGTCGCGGCCGAAGAGATATGCCGTTTCTCTGGGCACGTAGGCTCTTTATTGGCCTAGCCATCCACCTGACGGACAGCTCCGAAAGGACGAAAAGATAGTCTTCCGGAAGTTAATCGAGAGACGGAGAATAAGCATTGAAGTTGTATCCTCAAATTTGGAAGGCTTGAATTGAAGAGCGAGAACAACGTACGGCTAAAAATAGGCACGGTTCTGAAACAAACGAATATGAGGAGCATGAAAGGTGGGATACAGTAGGAGAGATTCACTGACTATCTTACTCAGGGGCTACGAGTGGACCCGGAAACAGCAATTAAGGCATCGATGCAAAACAGATTAGACATTGTGAAAGTCGAATGTACTTATAACCGTCTACTGATGCTCAGTAATAAATAAAACAACCAAATAGACCTGAAAAAACACAAACTCATGCCTCAATGGTCACACAGACGTTTAGTGCACGGCATTTACTTCAGTCAGTTGTTTGTGATATCCACAACCCCTTTCGAGAAAGCTTTCTGAATCTCATCAAATGATGGGAAACAGTTCCTTAGTGTTAGGTACATTTTCAAAAATTACCTCAATGAAAACGTTGATGTGAAGCGACGGTTCTTCGTTCAACATTTCAGAACTCATCGTTCTACGAAGTTGAGCTATCTGCGGGCATTAATGTTAATTGACTCTAATCAGAGAGATATAATACACCCCTAATGATCTCAAATGCGTGCTGCGAAAGAACTAAGCGACACCGGGAGTAGGCTCCAGTTAGTCTATATGAATAGTTGTGACGATGAGCTTGACTCATCACTAAAGTACTTATAGCAGTAATGAATACCTGCACAGTCATATCTACGATAGTGACTACGCTGCACCTGTAACACTGAACCATAAATTGGAAGCCGGATGTAACTGATACACACCCGGCAGAAACATGCCAGATGTAAGTTTTTGCTAAGACACAAACACGTTAAAACTTAGATATCTTGCCCCCATCGCTGTTGTTGAGCATTTGATTTTAAAATTATACAAGCTTATCTCCACTATCACAGAAGAACATCCCCGTCTTTTGCGCGAGTAATGACAGGACACAGTAAAAGTGTACCACAAATTACATCCACATTCTGCTGGATTCTTAAACCCAACGTCTGAGACACTATTTGATATATTGGCCGGATGTCAGATACCCTGATTCGCCTCACAAAAAGGGTGCAGCGAGAACACTCAAAACAAATCGTCCTGAGCAAATCCATGCATGGTAAGACAATGTCAGCCAAATGATAATCACTGTGCTTACTTTTCCAACTACTGTACAATAAACTGTCAAAATAGAATACGGTTCCAATAATAAATGTGTATTTGTGATTATTTCACTTCTTCGCTTTTGGACACTTTCGTCGGGACCTCGTTACCTTTGCTAGCCGCCTTACGCTTGAGTTTCCCATTGATGATGGCACGTTGAAGGGCGATTTTGAAGTGTTTCTCTCCAAGTGCGAAGGGATTCAATTTCAGCAGAGCCTAAAAGAATGGATAAAAAATACCATGATATCACAGGTCAACTAGATAATGTGCTTTTGATTACAATGCGAGGGACTTGACTCACCTGCTGATTCTTCAGTGGATTCTTCTTAACTTTAGGACCTGGACGTTGTAAATGCATACGCCTGGATTTGACAACAGATGAGATTTCACGACAGTGTAAAAGTCTACCAAGGTCTGAATTGACCATTTTTGCCATAGGAAGATGGAAGTTATTCTTCCTAACACTTCCTGTTTTCCATGTGCCGTAGATTTTATCAAGCTGTCTAAAAGCTGCATCCGACCAAATAGCTAGACGCCCCATGTGACCACCCGGAGCAAGCTTGAGCAGATTCAGAGCTCTAACATTGATCAATGTAACACCTGAAAATAGTTACTACTATGTGTGAGACAAACCTGGTATGTTTCGGAATGCACGTGATATCCCATCATCCTTCTTGTAAATTATTATCGGTCCACGTTTCTGAATGCGACGTCGATTCCTCATCTTACCCTTCCCTGCACGGAAACGCTGGGAGTTGTAGACTTTTTGGATATCAGGCCACGCCTAACTGCCTTCAGAACCTTTACTGCATCTTTAGTTTTCTTGATCGACTCTACGTCATTAGACAATACAAGAGGTAGTTCAGGTACACGATCACAACGATGTCCACGAGCCATGACCAGAGATGGAACCCCAGTGGCTGCGATTGCAGAACATATAGCATACCGCCGCTGCTGGACATTTATTTTTCTGTGCCACCGTCTCCACGTCTTAGTTGGGGCATACATGTGACCACCACGACACATGTTGCCGTAAGCTCCTTGACCTGACCGGTGTGTACCACCACCACGAACTCTAGGTATACGAGCGACGGCTCGCCCAGTTCCCCAAGATTCTGCAGAAGTCTGATGACCGGCTTTAGTGCTAACCGCATAAGGCTGTCTTGAATTCTTGCGCATTTGATCGTGGACGAAATTTAGGAGATCCATACGAAGCGGGGCAGTAAAGACTCCTGGCATCTTAATTGTAGCACCCGTAGATGCGCCATTTACACCATACACATTGACAATCGGCCTTGCAACAGCCTAATGTAAGTAAAAATGTTATTTTTTCCCATCATGAGGAGGAGCAATACACATGAGTATCATTGTGCAGTAAAACCATAAAACGGTAAGTAACAAAAAATCGCTATCAACTTGTAGGCACTAGTGGAACTATGGTGCTAACACAGACAAACTGCAACCAACCTATATAGCATTTTCCAGAGTTACTGTTGCTCATCATACCTACGATGACTAGAAGATATACGGGCAAGAAGTTCCGGGACCCATCAGTAACACGACAGTTCAGAGTTAACAAGATTGGAACACAGAAGCCATGATATCACGGATCTGTAACAAACACAGGCCATCTATAACAACAGATGTGTACAGATTCAAAACACAGGGGCTTTTCTCAAAAGCGATCTCCTAAAAACGCATGGGCTCAGTTTCAAAACACTTGACCAAACCAAGAAGCTTATACGCTAATTTTGTGTTCGGCAGGGATATCTAGACCGTCAGGTACTCCGAGGATGTTCGCACAACTATATAAGGCCTAATCACCAAAGATGTAGGGATAGTAAATGATCCTATGGTAGTGTGCGAAGATTGAAGACGTGTGACATGTATGCACTCCGCCCTGTTTATATATTTACTATCATGTGCTCAACATCGATTCACAAGTAAGCTGCAATGACTAAACGACAAAGAACAAATGAACTATATGGTTTAAAACCATGATTGCGTGTACATCCTTGTCCGTTAAATGATACGATTCGTGTATACAAAGTTTCACTAGAAAAATAAAATATATGGGTTTCATCGCACAAAATACCAACCAAACGTATAACAAAAAACACCTAGCTTGCCCTAAACCTGTGCAACAAACCGGTTTACTTGGATCATGTAGCATAAACCATCAGTAAACAACACAACACCAAACCAACCATCTCGGCGTGAACAGATCAGCAACTGATAGCGCCGCTCAGCAGTTAAGCAGTAAAACAACTCTCAACAAACGTGGTATTGAAGTAAAATAAGCGAACTATCTGGAATCCGTTTCCAACACTTTCAAAAGTGAACAAACAACACTCCAGAAATAGAAATAAGTAAATACTTGCACTGTGTAGTAGCTAGTGGCAGCTATGATAGTGAAAAGAAATGTGCAAATTGTTTTGCTATATTCCGTTAACTATTTTTCAACCATCTTTTACTAAGGAAACTTCAAATTTGGGCATACAGCCATCAATAGTCATACCCAGTAAGAAGGAAGATGAAGAACTGACGAAACCAGGAACACATTCCTCTTACCATAAACGTTCGTAATATTTCGATCCCATTTACTGAAGTTCGAACGGCAAACTACATATCTATGTTATATCGTTGTATTCGATCTCTGTGTATGTCTGTTTGTCTCCTGAATGAACAGATTACAAGACCACTCCCTCCAGAAGCCAGATTTAAGAGTTCATCACTCGACACGAAAATCAGTACTCCATCACTCTTGGTTTTGTCATTCCTACTCTGTGTCTTCTGACCTTTCCAGACCTAGGGCAAAGGAAGAGAAGAAATAAATGGGGGCCAAAGTCCTTTCTTAAGACTCCACATGCCATTATCACGGCTGTCCTGTGTTTACTAATAGACCAGGAGAAGAGGTTCAGATCCTGAGGCCATTTCCTAGACGTCTGGCCAGCCATCACTTGGATCGAACAGGTGGCTCTCCTCCAAACTATTTCTAGAAGATATGATTCATCTCTGAGACCAAAGCTTTCCAAAGATATTCATTGAGGTTCTGGTGAGTTGGAGTACTTTAGGAATACAATAAACCTCAGGGGAGTAACAACCCGGAGTGTCTCGTGGACGCGCAGAAAAGACAGTGATCCAGGACGAAGGCTTATCAAAGTCGTCTTTCCGGCCTCTCAAATGGCGGCATTCACACCAGAGGCATTCCGGGCGGACAAAAATCGCCTGCTACCTGAACTCTGCATGCATCCTCGTAGGTCGCGGAAAGAGAGGCCGCAACGAAAACATAAAAATGGAGCCTGTTTTGCCACTGGAAGGCTGCTCAGGTGCAAACAAGGGCATAGGGAATGCTACGCCGCCAAGCAGGATTTAGTCGCGTTCCTAACTCTCATGCCCGGGGATTCGCCCAGCCAACTGGACAATGGAAAAGGATCAGGAAGCACGTTCCAAGTAGATAGTATAAGTTGCATCTATACTAGTCTGCAAAGTTTACCGAATAAACTCAACGGGTTGCAGGAACCGGGTAGGCCCACTTGTACACACCTCGTAAGTGTTGCTGACAGGTGGGTTTCTCCCGACGTGTCAGATCAATTCTCAACATTGCACCCTTTCGCAACGACAGGTAGGCTTTTAGGATTTGTCCTGGTGCAAACTTGACAGACGCAAAGACCAATCACTAATTATTCGAACTTGTTATATACCCACGAATACGAGACCAAGGAAGAACACGATGGCGTAGTCGGATGGAATAGTATATTTGGATGGTTATGCCAAAATACCGATGAGTTCCAACTAACTGGCTACAGAGTCGAATACGAGCAGTGCAACGTAACACGACAGCGTGCCAAATGGCGAGGATGCTTGACCGGGTGCCTTCAGCTTAGCGAGTCCAGTTAAACTATCAAGGTCAACATCAATGTCGAAAGTCGTCAAACCCTAGGCTATTGATTTTGGGGAAGTGTGTGACGCTACAGGCTGATAAAGGGGTTGTTGTGGCACTTTACGCCATCTCTTCTCTCAGCCCAGCAAATTCACATCCAAGAACTGAAGCGACCTAGGGAACCCTCCTGCCGTTCCGCAAGTCTTTCGAGGACTACAAGGTCCTTGGTGTCGGTCACATATAGGAGGCCATTTACTGACGTGCAGTACGATGACTAGGTGTTAGTGGCAACCAGTTGCTTTCTCAGACTGGACACCAACACTTATTTTAGGCGACTTTAACCCACCGAAAATTAGTTTTCCAGGTCAACTCTAGTGGGACTGATGATTTCATTAAGGCCCGATTCTTCAGTCTGATTAAGAGCTGGGACCTAAGGAAAATTTGAGAACGGTAACGCGATCGAAGGGGACTCAACCCCCATCCCGCTCATACTGCTTCCTCACAAACGAAGAATTTTTGATTGACAACCCAGCAATCCTTCCTCCTCTGGGCAAGAGTTACCCTGTTTTTATCGGCTTGCAGTATGTCCGCGAAACTAATTTGACCAGACCCCCCTGCAGGGCGTCTTTGGAACTTCAGGCAGCGCTGGGACAGACAGACTGAGGAGTTAGCCGTGTGTGGCGGGGCGTGAACGTGCGCTGGAGATTTATACCTGGCAATGTCATGCATGCAGTCGGACAGTTTGTTCCGCTTTCAACAGCAAAATACTTCAGGTTGCCTGAGGTAATAAGGAGCCACACTTACAAACCACCTAGGCTGAATAGACGCTACCGGGCTGAACACAAAAGGATTGGCACCGAAAGCACCCTCCGACAATTTAAACAGACAAGAAATACATGCGCGAAGGCGTTGAGAACCGACCGGTAATCTCATCAAGCTACGCTTGGAAGCATGTTCGTTTCTGACGGAAAAGTCTGTTCTTCCTATGCTTCATCGTTCTGGCAAACTAACGCAGTTATCTCAACCACTGAATACCGAGGAACGGACTAGCAGCGACAGTGAAGCAGTTGAGCTCCTGGCCGACTAGCATTCACGAATCTTTTCTTCAACTTCCATCTACTCAGGAGCTTGCGAATATCCCACTGACGAAGTAGGACTCTCGGTCGTTGAGACGGTGCAGTGCGAGCTACTTCTGCTCATAGAGGACACCTCTTTGAGATCAGATACAATCCATTTGGCGGTACTGTGAAAAGAAGTATCGGTCCTGCCTGGACCTTTAAGTGAGTTACTTAAGGATTATCTGTGTCAGGGGAAGTACCCCATCCTAGGAATTTTGGCCACGCAAAGTCAATCTCCGAGGGAGTTCAGCGAAGCAACCAGAAGAAGTGCAGACCGGCGACGTTCTTATCCATACCTTCCGAAGTAATGGGATCTTTAATCCGCGATGGACCGAAGGATCACCTTACAACGCGCAACTTCTTCACACCCCAACAACACAGAGTTCGAAAAAGGTACCCCAGCGTTACTAGCTGCTCACTGCAGTAGACAGATAGACTGGAGTTGTTGACCACCGAGGTCATTTATCTAGACTTTGCCTAAGAGTTTGATCGTGTTAGTCACGGCCGCCGTACTGATAAATTAAGATTACTCGGGACAACGTCACCGCCTATCAGCTGATGGTCTTCGCATCTACGAGGTCGTTCACCTGGAGTCAGAGTCGGTTTCCCTTTCCCCAAAGAAGCAGAAGTTCCTGATGGTGTCCCTCGAGGCTCGCCACTTAGACCTCTTTTTCTATGTATAAGCGACTCGTCTCAACAGGTTTCTTCCAAAATCACTCTCCCTGCCGATGGTATGTAACTATGGGCAGAAATCAAAATTAAAGGAGACAGCGGTTCTCCACAGGAAGATTTAACCCGACTTCATGAATGAGCGGTAAATAAGGGGCCAGCATTTGATTCTGAAAGATGTAAAATGTGACACGTAAAACATGATCCATGTTCTGTATATGGCCTCAAAGGTATGGAACATGAGGCATCGCTGATGGAGAAGGATTTGGGCGTTTTAGTCTTTCAAGACTTAAAACCTCATGCCAACTGCAGCAGACACTCATTTCGCCAAAACCAGGCTTCAGTAGCCGCGAGATGTAGTCTCGGATACTTCGATCGCGGAAGTTTTCACCAAATCTTCAGCGGCTTCATACGGCCTCACCCGGAGTTCGGGACCATAGCCTCCTCCCCCAGAAAGCATTCAGAGGCCCTCTACCTAATCCATTCGAAAATTTAGGTCCAAAGCACATGAGGAAAAGATGGTCGCGCTGGATTTATATTCCATGGGGTACGGATGACTGAAAGGAAACTTGATAGTGACTCGCAGCATCCTGAGCACCCCTGGACACTCACCGTATCACGTAGAGACCATCAGACGTGGCACTAATCCTAGGGGACATATACAGAAACTGAGTCTGGAACATGTTAGTTTACATGCCAGGAAAAACCTCTATCCCCAGGGGTTTTCACCCTCGGAATGCTCTTTCGCAGACGTGATCCAGGATACCTCGTCTGAATCCTATAAACGCCGAGTAGATAATCATTTGAGATGTGGCTGTTATCCACTTACAATAAATTGAATTTTCACACCTTAACCACCACATTTTACTCTCTCTTTACTTATGCAGAGGTTAACAACCACAAGAAGTAGTGGCCCACGGATTCTGGACGTAGAACTCAGTCAAGCAAAGCTCCCTCTGTCCCACCAACAACCACCTGAACAACCTGAGCCATTGTTCACGGTTTTCTTGTCTGAATCTAATTAATGCAGTGTGTAATGCAACTTTCCACAATGGTTCTCCCTAGAGCTTCACTCACTGCTTAATGTCCTAAAACTCCAGGCCCCCAGTAAAGGGTAGCCCACTGCTGTTTTTAGATCATCAACTTTTATAGCTCCTAGACCGTTGAAGGCCACTGTTGAGGTTAGAAGTTCTCCCCAATAGCCTAAACATTATCATATGTACTTTTCCTGTTCATGGTTGCATACGTATCCGTTTTCCTAAACATAAATCACTTCTGTAACTAGTGTAAGAAGCCTTTCGGCGTTTCTAAACATTGCGCACACCAGTCCTTCCCCAATTTTTACAGAGTCTCTACGTCGTCACCGCAGGAAACCATGAGAGACCGCGTGATGCTTGTTAGTTCTTTGACGTACGGAAGTAATAGAAGGGGAAATACAGGACTTGTGGAATTTGCTCTGCATCAGACTCAAGGAGGAATTTCGCGACCGATCTTTAGTCTGTCCCCCATCGACCAGCACCCCGTATCTAGGCAAGCAGAT